AAAAAGAAGTCTGATGAGGAGATGTGGTGATCTCCGAAATAGTGCTATAACTTCTACCGCTTAGACTTTGTTGCTTTTTCAATTTTTCCTAATAAACAATCGTGATAGAAAGCTTAATAAAAATATTAAAAAATAAAATGTTAACCGCCACAATAACATTGACAAATACATAGTTTAGGAAGAGCCTGCCTGAAACTATACAAAAAAGCAAATAAGCAAATGGATGTATAGAATTGACAACAACAACCACGCTGTCGAGTTTAAATAGCGGCAAATCAGCTGCACTTGATAGTAGTTGGTTGAATAAGGAAAATGAATTAGCAACAAGAGTTTACGGGATGTACATAGCTCAGTGGTTAACGCTTCTGACTTTGAACATCGAATTCGCAGGTTCGATCCCTGCTGAAGTCTAGAAAAAAGAAGTCTGATGAGGAGATGTGGTGATCTCCGAAATAGTGCTATAACTTCTACCGCTTAGACTTTGTTGCTTTTTCAATTTTTCCTAATAAACAATCGTGGTACAAAGCTCAATAAAAATATTAAAAAATAAAATGTTAACAAGCCATAATAACATTGACAAATACTTTACTTTTCTTTTTAATGTATTCATTGGCTAAATTAAACAAATAAACAAATAGATATGAACCAAATCGGACTATCAATACGAGATTTTCAAATATCTCGACACCTGCGCCACCTATCGGATTAACTCATACTTCGTATTGCATTGTCATCGGGTTCTGAGCCAACGGTGAAGTTTCAAGTCTATAGGTCATTGAGAAGTTGATCAAAAATTTATTGCAATATTTGCCCCTAACAAACATACATACATACATACCTAGAGAGCAAAACAAGGAGTTTTAGTTCGGATTGAAGTTCCACTCTACAGGAGTTAGGCTTTCGATGCGTTCTCCTTGTATATATATAAAAACAAGAAAACAAACAGAGCAAGTGAAATAATGGCTTGTGAAATAGAGGCACTTCAAAATTTTCACACAAAAATGTAACAATTCCCCTCTGCAATGAAAAATTGTTCACGGAGAAAAAGGCTTAAGCGACACTGCGGGCACAAAAAATTGAAATAGAGTACAATTAAGCACTTAAGCCAAAATTGCTTTCGCTATAACTTTGTAACGGTACTTCGTAGGACTTTGAAATTTTGACAGCTGGTGCGTATGATGGTAGGTAATCCGCCAAAAACAGAAAACCGAACAGGTTGTTGCTTACGCCCTTTTGGCGGTTAGGGCTCGATATATTGGCGTAAGAAGATAAAATTAGTCTATTTCTAAGAGGTTTTTGCTTATTGTGACGCCCCTATAAAGCAAACTATATTTAAGTAGCGCACGTTGGTGAGGAGGGTTCAACAAATATTTTGCGAAAAACCGGAACAAAATCGGTTCAGTTTAAGCTGAGGTGTGAGGGAACATACACATTATTAGGCTTTATTTTATAAGATGTAGGGAAGATATGTATTTCTTACTGGCAAATACTAAATAGTTACTTGTAAAAATTTATCCAGTAACAATCCAGTAAAACTTGCAAGTTTAGCTGTCATTTGCAGTCTCTCGATCTCTTCTACTTCGCTCTTTTCTTACAAGTCTTGTAAGAAACCCAGGGCCTTCGAGAGAAAACTCGGGCCCTATACATAAATTGTATTAATTTAAAAGAATGTGATAATTTTCTTTAATTTATAGAGTCAGAAACAATCAGCACGAATCGGAATAAATTTATAATGAAAGCCTACCACGAAGGAGCAATTAAATTGTAAAAAAATTAAAAACATGTTATGGTTCTGACATATTGGGTCCCTTAAAAAGCATGGGCCTGATGAAACCGCCAGCTAGAAAAATTCCAATAAAATTGTTACTAGTTTTTACTGGATGTGTAAAAAATCACTACTATATTTACATACATATGTACGTTAAAGTGCAATGATGATTGCCTATCCATCAAAAGTGCAGAAAATAAATACGATATACTACTTGTCAAATGTATGATAAGCAAGGCAATGGATTTTCGCTACGCCCCTTTATCAATTATTGGCCTTTCCCGAGGCCAAACTAATTTGAACTGGAGAGTATATTAGAAGATCTACTAGTTCAGTCTAGACTTAAACGGTTTGTCCAAACCAACTTCGGACAGACCAGTTTATCCTAGGATATACCGGTATATCCTATCGCATGTTGGTAGAACTAGTTTGGCCTAAGAAAAACTCGTTTGACCGTAATATTTGGTTTGGCCGGTAACATATAAATACAACATATATAACATATAATAACAACAGAGGACTGATAATAGACCTTGAGGTGTGTCATTACAAAAAAATTATCAAGGCTGCTCTCGCACCATGGTTTGATTTTTTAACGATCATTAGTTAAGCGCCCGTTATAGCTTATTTAATGAATGTTTCTGAGTGCGAAATGTAACCTTTCAAATGGTGTTTAGCAGGTTGAAAAGCGATTAGTATAAGAGCGTAAACTATGCGCAATACCGGGCGAAAGTTGTAACCACTAGTTTTTAATAAGTTGAAGCAACTGATCAGTTTAATAAAACGACATTTTAGTTTATATTTATCTTACCTAATTTTATGAGTAAGTCATCAATATATACGTTGCAAACATGGTAATCATTTGCAACTATCCAATGAAGTCGCGGCACATGTAAGAGCGTGTAAGCTAGCCGAATGAGTTCAGGTACCTGTTCCCTGCGTGGATATGTGGGTGTTACAAAGTATATTAAAGTCATTGTTTCATAATCGTGGACAGGTCGATTTTGAATAAAAAATCGATTATCTGTAAATACTTCGTTGCATACTAGTTGTGATTCATTGACCCGAGTACGTGCTGAGTCATCTGAAAAAAACAACATTCCTGTTTAATTCTGTTGAAAAAGTATGCAGTCCTAGTCATTTGAATAGCGCACCCCTGGATTCTCAGTATGTACAGTTTTCCTTTTGTAAATCCGATTTAAAAAAAAATAAAAAATTTCACCAGAGGGGTGCGCTATCCCAATGAACTGCAGTGAATAAGTTAATAATATTTTTAGTAAAATTTCGGATATTCAGTTTTGTTGCCCATAATGGGTTGCCAGATTTTTTTTAGGCGAAATCAGCACCTTAGGCCTTTTCATGCTATCTATCTATAATATTTATATAAAAAGAAATCCCTTTTTCATGAAATTAGCTTTCAGCAACCACCATGTCATAGGCCAAAAAAAAATTACGTTTTCCCGGTATGTGGACCAGGGACAGATCTATTCGAAAAAATCTTATTATGGTCCGATTTGCTTAAAATGTGGTACGTAGGTATCTTTTTGCCTAGATTAGCATATAGGATCCTTTTTTTTAGGAAGTGGACCAGGGACCGATGTATTGGAAAAAAACGCATTTATGGTCCGATTTGCTTAAAATTTGGTACGTATTTATGTAGCTTTTTGCCTAGATAAGCATATAGGATCCTCTTTTCGGGAAGTGGACCAGGGACCAATCTATTCGAAAAAATCATATTTATGGTCTGATTTGCTTAATATTTAGCACGTAGGTAGCTTTTTGCCTAGGTTAGGATATAGATATCCTCTTTTTCCGGGAAGTGGGCCACGGAACGATCTGTTCGAAAAAAACGTATTTATGGTTCGATTTGGTTAAAACTTTGTACGTAGGAAGCCTTTTGCCTAGATTAGCATATAGGATCCTTTCTTACGGGAAATGGACCAGGGACCGATCTATTCGAAAAGATCACATTTATGGTCCGATTTGTTTAAAATTTGGTACGTAGGTAGCTTTCTACCTAGACTAGAATATATGATCATTTTTTTCCGGGAAGTGGACCACGGAATGATCTATTCGAAAAAATCGCATTTGTGATCCGATGCGCTTAAAATTTGGTACGTAGGTAGATTTTTGCCTACGTTAGCATATATGATCTTTTTTCCGGGAAGTGGACCAGAGACCGACCTTTTCGAAAAAACTTATTTATTTTTCGATTTGCTTGAAATTTGGCGCGTAGGTAGCATTTTTCCTAGATTAGCATTTAGGGTGTTTTTCCCGGTAAGTAGGTCAGGGACCGATCTATTCGCAATACATCCTATTTATGGTGCGATTTCATTGAAATTCGGTACACGTATTTTAAAGAGAATATACAAAATTGAATGATTGTTTTACACTTTGACCTTGTTTTTCTTAAAATCTGGGGCTGATGGAAATTTTACCTCAAAAATAGAGTTAACATTTGCTGCATCAAATTTTTTTATATATTTGTTGGCCTGTGTAATAAGTATTGCTAAATAGCCAATACCCGCATGTTTGCGGCGCCTTCAAACACCTTTCGAACTGTAAAATAATGACTCAATTCTATTCTACGCATATCTATAATACGGGTATCGAATTTAAAGCAAATCGAGTCATAAATAAGATTTTTTGGAATAGATCGGTCTATTAGATAAAGTATCCTATATGTTTATCCTGGCAATAAGCTACCTACATGCCAAATTTCAAGCAAGTCGCACCATAATAAAATTTGTTTCCAATAGATTGGTATCTGGTACACCTATCAGAAAAAATATCCTATATGTTAACTTTGGCAATAAGCTGCCCACGTGCCATTTCAAGCAAATCGGACCATAAATAAGACTTTTTCGAATAGATCGGTCCCTGGCCAACTTAACGGAAAAAATTAATCCTATATGGTGTGAGCTCCCTGATAAGCAAACATTTTTCAGGTAAAAGGGTCACCGGTTTTGAAATATTTAATTTTTTTTTTATTTGAAAAAAATCGTGCGTTTTCATGTATTTTCTTTAACTGCATCTACAAACAAGGCTATACTTAGTAAATTTTTTATGTAAAATACTTTCAGATAGTTGCTTCTCCATACTCAAATGCAATGTAGTTAAAATATATTAAGGAACCATTATAAAATTAGGACTATATTGGGATTTTTAACTTTAAAAAATTAAATTAAAATTAAAAAATTTACTAAGAATAGCCTTATTTGTAGGTGCAGTTAAAGAAAATACACGAAAAGGCACGATTTTTTTTTTGATTCAAAAAAATTTTAATATTTCAAAAACAGTGACACTTTTACCTGAAAAATTTTTGCTTATCAGGGAGCTCACCCTCCCATCTACCTTCTCCTCAAGTTTGGCAGGTTACTTCTGGGACACCCTGTATATACATAGATTAAAGTAATAGGTGCAGATAAGGAACATTCAAACATTTTAATTAGGAAACTAGATAAACCATCATTATCCAGCTTTGTAGATATTTTGAGTGCTCTAATACTGGAAACAACGTCATCCACTGTTAGTCTTAATGCGCCGAAATCTATGCATGAATCAATTTCACCGTACATTGTATCATCCAACACGTATACATCGTTATCAAAATTAGAGACAAAAAAATCGGCGAATAGATTAGAAGTTTCAGAACCCGAGTTTGATCTTTCGTCATTGAGAAACATTGTCGCAGGAATATCTAATACAGATTTTTTTGATTTTATGAAGCTCCAAAACGATTTTGGGTTGCTCTTTATGTTACTCTCACATTGCATGATAGATTTATTATATAGAAGTTTATTGAGACAGTTAAACTCGTTCAAATGGAGCAAATACTTTTGGTAGGCCTCATTATTACTAGTGGTTATATAAACTTTATAGAACTTATTTCTAAGATTTTTTGATTTCTTCAAACGCTTAGTATACCACGGCAATTTATAGACTTTTTTTGGACGAGTCGGAATGAGCTCAGTGAAGATTTTCTTTACATTAGTTAGGAAGATACGATAGCAATCAGCGACTTCGACCTGACTAAGTAGTTCCTCCCAATTAATAGCATTTAATGCGCTGTTTAGAAGTTCCGGGTCACATAAATTGTAATTAAAATCTGGGCCACAACTAGATGTAGAACAGGTATGAAAATTATAAAAGTTTATTTGTAGGACTAGCGGTACGTGATGAACATCCGGCTCAGAAATTGGGAAATCACATTCAGTCAGGTGGAAATCAAAATTACTACTGACAAAGATTAGATATAGACTTCTAGATAACTTATTTAAATAGGAATTAATTTGTACTAAGTCCGCACCGAGAAGACTATCAATTAGGTAAATTTCGTGTGATTTATTGACATTACAGGCCATAAGAGAACTATTATTAGGTACCATAGACCAGGTGACTTTATTTAGATTGAAATCGCCAAGAACGCATAGACGACTCTTACTGTCTGAACCGACTGCAACTGAAATATATGTTATATTGTCCATATGCGCAGCATATAACTCATCAGAACTAAGTGGCGGAATATAGGACGCACATATATACAGTAGATTAGTATCTCCACGTATAGTTACACATAACTGGTCAAGTATAGTATCGGCGTTTACAAGATCAAAGGATTCAGAGCGCCGGTTCCGTTTGACAGCAATAAGAACACCTCCTCCTCTTATGCAACCTGTTTTGACCGAGTCCCTGTCTTTTCTATAAATATTATTCAGCTTTAAGTCACAAATTTCAGCATCAAATATGTCTATATGGATTAAAGTGCGCAACACCGCAAACAAAAAAATTCCAAAAATTAACGGCATTCTTAAGACATTTGAAACTTGTACCTTATTATTCTAGAATGAATGGACTACAAAAATGTTAACCCAAAACATGTCTACAAATTCTGAACAAAAACGGCGAGAATTTGAAGAAACTTTGTTGATTTTTTTCAATGTTTCAAGTTTGGATTTATTTGTAATTTTTAATTTCAATGCATAAAATTTACATACATTTTTTTACTTCCAACCCCCGAATTTGTCAATTACTTCTATGTCTCCAGGATATTTTTTCAAATAAATAGCTATAAGGGATATTTCACCCGCCGGTGATAAGAATCGCGGATTAAGTATCAAAGTGCTAGAAGAGATTTGTGCGTTTGGTACAAAAAGTATTTTTGATGTTGAAATTGTACTTAAAATCGGCAAATTGTACTTATGTACTTTTGAAAACTAATTGTACTGAAAAAGGTACAATTGTACTTAAAATATCAACACTAATTCGAACCCGCCCTCACACTCACAGTATCAGTGATCGGGGCCGATAGAGACGGAGAAGTAGAGGTGGCGGAGGAAACAGCAGCAGGCATTGAACAGGCAGTGCAAGATATGCTAACGACTCCTTCTTTGTTGTTTGAGGAACTTGTCACTAGGCCACGTAGATGTTTTAATTCGGTTGTTAGTGACAATATCTTCGCATCATTATTAGCGAGTTTTGTTTGCATTGAAATTGTTTCTGCCCGCAGGGCATCGAACATTTGCAATAGTTGCTTCCTATTTTCATACAGAGAATTCACCAAAGATATCAAACTCGCATTCTCATTTCGAAGAGCGGCAATTTCTCTGACGACAGTAAGCAAAGTAGCTTGCTGCTTGTTAACACTTTCGTTTGCTATTACGATTGTTTTCTTTATTTGCGACTCGAATGATGAAGAGTTTACATTAGCATTATTAGGCAAGGTAACTTGCTGCTTATTACCACTATCGTTTTCTCTTACGATTGGTTTGTTTTTTTTTGCGACCCGGACGAAAGAGAGTTTACATTAGCATTATCAGGCAAGGTAACTTGCTGCTTACTAACACTTTCGTTTGCTGTTTAGATTGTTTTGTTTTTTTTTTGTGACTCAGATGAGGGAGAGTTAATATTAGCAGCTTTCTCAACCAAAACATTAGAGGGTGAAGACGAGCGAGAGTTACGGCGATCAGCCTTGCATGTTTTACAAAAGAAAGGCGAGAAGAAAATCCACATCAGCCTACACGCCACCAAACATTTTAAGTGAAAATACTCTTTGCAATGAGCACACAGCATCTTCGATCGATT